CACTTGGCTACTCGCAGAGAGCTGGACGCTATGGTGGATGCGCTAGGGGATTCTGTGACCGGCCATCTTGGAGCACTTAAAATGGAGATCCTCACATCCAACGATCTCATCAAAGACTGCACCTCCAAGCTCATAAAGGAAGGTGACCTCCTTCGTGCAGAAGTCCTCAGCACCGTCTCCAAACTCAAATGGGCCACATAACTTGATGTGATGAATGCCTCTGCGGGTGCCGAGAAGGTGATAGAGAAAATGTACAAGGCGGCCACTAAGATTTTGCGTCATTTGAGGAGGGCTCCCCTAACTTCATGCAAGGCTGATGTCATCCAGAGCCATGACGATCATAAGGGTGATGATGATCGTCATGAGGGGGAGAAGAAGAAGGAAAAGAAGAAGGCCAAGGCCCCAGAAGCAAAGAAGAAATCTGCCAGAGCACCTGCCAGAGGTGTTAAAATTGGGGAGTCTACAGCTCCAAGAGACAAGAAAAAGGCTTAGCTGTAGAATCTTCAAAGAAGGGTTCATCATCGAGCTCCGAATCCTCAACGCCAATCAATGAAGAAAAATATGCTGATGAACCTGAACTCCTCAAAGTTTTAAAGTTATCTCGGGCAGAGGCTCAGGCTAAGAAGGGCAGAGTGCCTATGCACCACAGAGAGGGTGAGGCCACATCATCCGTTTTCCCACAAGTCCAAGTCCCACAAGTCCAAATAACGTCCACGGGTACGTTCGATGCCCTGCAAGGAACCGTTAAGCCCATCCTTGCAGAGGGATCAACCCAGAGGCCGATTCTGGAAGAGGAAGAAGAACAGAAGATGCCAGAGTCACTAGCGGGAGGACGGGTCTCTCAAATCCTTGAATCTATGAGCAAGATTCCAACGCTAAATGTTCGCACAGAGCCCGTCACCACCCCAGAAGAAATGCTTATTTGGAAGTACTCTGTGACAGACACAGAGCCACCCTACGATCCAGAGCTCACTGATATCCCCTCTGCCGTAGCCAAGGTCCACTTCTCAAGATTAACAAGGCCTCGTGAGCAGGTCTTCTCGCGACACATGATCACATCATTGGTGTCAATCTCACCAAGGACTCTGTTAAAGAAGACCGTGCTCTACTCACAGTACGTTGTAAGGAGAGAAGACCGCAATATCTACACGTTCACTAATGCAGATCTTCATAACCTCTGTGTGTATGATGTCATTTATATGCACAAGATCCTTAACGTCTACATGGAGAGGAGGTCACCATACCAAATATCCCTTAGAAGGCTGATTGAAGTTATGCGTGTGCAAGTGATGTATTACAGCCAGAAGGATTTTGAGTTGGTCATGAGATTAGCACAGAAGAATCTAAAGATCACTCCTCCTTACAGCAGGCCTAGTTGGGTATCTAAGTACTATCCAAACACCATTATACACAATCCCGTTTTTGGGTTTGTGTATTTGGACAAGGATGAGCTACTAAGATTCTTTGACCCCACAGAATATCACAAGTATGCAACAGAGACGCTGGACTGGATCTTCAAGTGTTTAGTGGTAGAGGTGGATAGAAGACAGTACAGGGTTGGTGAAGTGTCTCCTCTCTTGGATGCAATTAAATCTCAAATCAACTTCAGAGAGTTCATCTTAAATGTCTACAGAACAATCAAGTCAGATTTTGTTTACGCAGTAGACGACTTCCCAGAGTCTATGGTTTAATTCTCTTCTGTTCCAGAACCCGACCTATGCTTCAAAATTTTGTCATTTAAGTTTTGTAATTCTTTACTTTGTAATTCTTTACATTGTAATTCTTTCAGAGGATGATGTTTAATCACCTCTTGTAATTTCATTTCAATTAAAGTCATACACTTGCACTTAAATTTCAAATTTTACTTTTTCATACTTAGGGGGAGATTGTTAGCTCTCATTACCTTAAATGTAAAAGTATAGAAAAAGTAAACTGCAAGTATTGACAAAAGATGATCTGTCACAGAAGACCACAGAGGACCAACAGCAGAAGATGCTCAAGCGTTCAACTCTCAAGTGACAGAACCTCTGTCGTGTCTCACAGAAGTTCTGTAAACTGGTCCTCTGCAAAGACAATGCTACAAGACAAAGTCGACAGAACCTCTGTCGTGTCTCACAGAGGTTCTGCAGCATGTCTTCTGTATAGATCTTCTTTAGCTGTTTTACTTAGGTTTATTAGCTGCTCGTGCTTATCACTTGTTCTTGTCTGTAATCTGTTTTGATCGAACGTCTTAGATTAATTTACTTTTAGGTCGTGTCAGGAAACGATTACTTGCTTGTATAAATAGCAGCGTAGACCCTTGTATTTCAGTGTGCTTCAGTATTGTAATTGTCAACATTTTCATTCTATTGAAAATCATTTGAAGCCTTCTCTTGTGTTCTTCAATCGTCTTCACTGTGTTGTTTATTGATTTCTACTTTGGTTGATTATTATTATTTCCGCTGCATTCTCACTGTTAAACAGATCATCCAAGTAAGTAATCTTTACCAAGAATCTGAGTTAATCGATCCAACAGCTTCTCTTGAACTCATTTTATCAGTTAGTATGTTTTAGGATCAACTACAGTTCAAAATTTGTATACAAAAATATATCAGATAAATCTCAAACAAGAATATGCACGCATTCAACACTTAGAAAAAAATTAAGCACACAAGCTTATCCGGATTAGAAGTCCAGACAAAAAGATAGACTTGACTTTATAACACACAAGTTATCCGGATTAGAATCCGGACAACAAAACATATCAAATCGCACACTTATCACATAACGCGGAAGTGAAATCCGGTGAACTTCAATACTTAGCCAAAATTTAAGCAATTAAGGAAATTTAATATGGACAATGCAAAATTCAATACAGATAAGGCACAAAAATCAATTTGGTTTAAAAATCTCAAATCGGATGATTTCAACACTTAGTCAAATTTCCAAAATGTAATACGGACGTAAAAAGTCAACTAGTCAAGGTCAACTAAGTCAACTAGTCAAAGTATGTATAAGTCCGCTTAAAATCAATTTGATAAAAAGTCAAAGATTTAAATCGATCACAACACAAAGTCAAATCACAAGTCTGTTCAAAGAATCAAAGTCAAAATACGGTCAAACAGTCAAAGTACGATCAATCAAAATATTCAACAATATAAAATAAATCGCATATTAAACCGCTCAACCTTACACTTAAACCGCTCCCCAATTCGCTCAGGCTATAACCGGACTTCAAATAAATCGCACACTTAACAAGATAAATCGCATAAAATACAAAAGACTTACCAAGCGGATTACCTAAATCGCTCAATAAATCGCACATGAGTCAAACGATTTACCTCTTAATCCGACCAAGACTTACCCGGTTTAGCCTAATCCGATCAAACTCAATTTACACAAATATTACAAGTATTAAATCGTACAAGCTTTAAACGATATACAACTAAATCGAACAAGAGTTAATCGGACTAATATTCTAGCAGAAACACAAATTTCACACATTTTCACCAAAATTTTGGATCAAAACATGAAAAATTATGAATTTTGAAAAACACTTACAGTTTTCGAAAACTCAAAATTCGATCAAATCAGGTTCAAAACTTGTTCAAAATCAAAAACAGTGTGAATCAAATTTGTTCTAAATGAAAATGCGAATCCAACGATATAAGATTTGTCAATTAGCAATCAACAATCAAACGATTCAAGCCAAAATTCAAATATGGAATGATGAACTCTAAGAACAGACGAAGAACATGAAGAACTAAGATCGATCAATCCACTAAAAATTCATGCAAATTCTTGATAAATTCGTTTAATCCTCTAATAAAACTGCTGCAGTCTGCTCTGATACCAATTGAAATGTCCAAATTCACACACAACTGATTATGATCTTTAAGAACGATAAGAACAAGATGACGAGAGAATAGATCACCAAAATGTCTTTGATTGGTTGAGAGAAAAATTACAGCTCTAATCTGGAATTACAAAATTGTTAATGACTTGCTAATGACAATTACAAAGTAAACCATTATTTATACTAAGGAAAGTATAAAGCTAAACTATTACAAAGCATGTAAAATATGGAGAACTTGAATACAACAATAACGCGCATACTTGAACCCAACAGTATCACATACTATATTTTTAATTTAAGATGGAATCTTCGGAAAATGAGAACATACTTGGTGATGAGATGAAATGAAACAAGGAACAAAAAACAATCGGTGATGATACTTACGAATCTGTAAGCATGCCTGTAGGGACGAACACTAACACGAGCAATGAATAACCACAAAAAAGGTTAAAGTCAATTATTTGGACTCATTTTGAACAACTGTGTGTTAGTGTTAGACGATTTGCAAGGTGTAATTATTGCAATAAGCAACTAACGGGTAGAGCCAACGATGAAACCACACACTTGAAGAACCATTTCAAGAATTGTCCAAGGAGTGTTACAAAAGATATTAGACAACATATCCTAGTTCAAGATCAAAAGGCTTTAGACGGGAAAGGAAAAAATGAGTAAATATTCATTTAATG